CCACCGCCATAATAATAAGACCTACTCCGAGTCTCCCCCCCCCCCACAAGTCTCTCCACTTCATATGGAAAACCAGGAAATCCGCCATATGAGCCGCAATCAGCGAAAACGACCCTTAGAGGTTTCGTTATTAATTCAAGAAAAAAGGTCGATTTGTGACGTTCAACGATTTTTTGATCGCGCTGCGAACAGCTTGACGCGTTCTTCTTGAACTATCATTAATTTTTGTTTCCCTATATCACATCGTGATACCTGATTATGTTCATTTTCTGAACGTGAGACATATAGTCGGAGGAGGTAGGCCCAATTCATCAGCAGGCTGCTTCGGCTTCTCGCTGTATTATCAGGTCTCCATCTTGTTCCTGTCTTCCCAATCTGTACTCTGCAGGTCTGTGCACTTCAGTGCTAATAATTTAAAACTAAAATTAAGGTCCTACCCCTGTAAGAGGGCAAAATTATGCTCCAATCTTTCGACTACCAAATTACGCCAATAATCATGCTGCCCTATTCCGCGTAGCCTCTTGCTTACAGCCAGCGATGCTCTACCCCTAGTCTACATGTTTGGTGCAGCCGTAATCTGTAAATACCTAGTTTGTTAGGACAAGAACACGCACTGTGGACCATGGTTTGTGGACAGTGTTATAGTACTACAATAGCAGTGCTACCGCCATAAACGTATTCCGTACCCACGAGCTTTGCAAAGCCGATATTTTGATAATGTACCGTGATACATGCACTGATGGTACCACCACTTCGTAGAATGCCTCCCTTTCATTTCTGTGCTCCTGTCCTTATTCTCGTCAGCTGTGTACTTCAGCAGTTCAATTCCGTGCTCCAGTCCTCATTAGTCTCGTGAGTTTGTGTACTCGTTTTGCAGTTTGTTTGGTTTATTTGAATTCGCACAATAACTTCAGCTATTCTCTCCTCCCTCTTCTGAGTTTGACTCTCCACCGGCCTTCTCTCCTCCCATCCCCGGCCTTACATTGTCTTGGGCCTCTGCAGCCCCCCCCCCTCCCCACCACCATCACCACCCTACGCACACACTACATTGTCACATGGCACAACTCAACCATTCGCTGCCCTGTTATTGAGCACTCCGGCTCCTTTGGTCTCGGGAATCCAAATATAATCAATCAATTAATCAATCAAACGATAGTTCAATGATTTTTTCTTTACACACCGACACTTACGCTTTATGTTATTCCATACCGGCTGTTGCGACGCAGCCCCAAGGGTTCCTAAATGTAGAAAACTGTTTTCTAGCACCCCTCTGTCTGTGGAGGTTTTCTCAAGATGACTCTAGTATAAGATAAAATGGTTAGTATCAAAAAGTATTCTTTCTAGACCAAAGAGTGGTATATTTGATAACATTTAATAACGATAGAAATTTTTACGATACTTCTCCAGACGTTTCGTTGTTCTGAACAACATCGTCAGTGGATAAAGAATGGAGGGCTTTGGGTGGTGGCACGGGTTAATAGGGAGTGATGGTGGTGAGATGAGGTGAGGTGAGAAGGTGAAGGTGGGAAATACATGTATCTAAGTTAATGGTGAAGGTTAGGTGCGGGTCGATACAGGTGGGAAGGGGTACACCCTTCGGGTAGAAGTGTAGGTTGGTAGAAGGTGTTGGTGTGCGTAGAAGGTGGAGTGGCGTAATGGAAGTGTCGGGTTGATAAATGTGGGAGAGAGTCTAGGTAGGGTGTGGATCAGCAATAGGTGTTGGTGTATGTGGTGGGTAGAATTGGCAAGAGGTGTGTGTGTGTGTGGGTGTGTGCGTGCGAAAAAGAGTAAGGTAGTGAGTATTGGTATGCGTGGAAGGAAGATGTGACAGAAGGTGTGCGCTATAGGCAAGGGGTGCAGGAATATTTTGAGGTGGTGGGTGTGACTAAAACAGGAGGTGATTCATCTAGTGATATATATAATATCAGCAATAGCAGCAGTATATACAAAGAGGTGTGTGTGTGTATGCGTGTGCGTTTGCAAGCTTTTTGGTAGTGTAGTGTGTTGGGGGGGGGGGGGGGAGAGCACCGGGTGCGGGTGTTCTTCTTCTATTGCGATCATTTTTGGATGGGTTGGCAGATAGTGGATGGTGGTAGGCAAGTTATGCCAAGAATCCAGTTCCCATATCTTCTTTTCTTCTGTTGATAGTTGGTTTCTTGTCGCGAATGGCATATGCCTCACGGATCCGGAGCCTCAGCTTATCCCTCTCCGTGAACTGAGCAATCTCGTACATAATCTCTGGGGTGGCGTTCGGGTGTTCCCTAGCGTAGTGCACACTGAATGCAGACTTCTTGTCATGAGATTTTGCAGCATTTGTGTGCTCTTGGGCCCGGGTGTGCACTTGCCTCCCAGTCGAGCCGACGTATCTCTCGTGACAAAGGTGGCATGTAGCTTCGTACACGGCAAATCTGCAGGTGCATTTCTTCCTGAACATAGGGCATTCGCGCATTCTGCATTTTTCCGGTTCTCCTTTTTTTTCTTCGTGAGTTCTTGGATGGTTGGGGGTCGAGGGTTAACGAGGCGTGCCGTTATGCCGTTTTTCTTAAGTGCCTGTCGTACTTGGCCGTTAACCTTGTCGGAGATGTACGGTATTCTAAATACCAGTTGTTTCCCTTTTGTTTGTTTACTTGTGTTTCTTCTTCGGGCTCGCGCTTTGATGATGTGTTCTGCAGAATAGCCGTTCCCTGCAAGTTTATCTGAGATGAGGCAACGGCCTCGGCAACGGCAACGGCGGAAGCGTAAGCTACTCTTTGGCGGAACCGACAAAAAAAGCGCATGTGTGACCGCGGCCTTATTCGTCTTTCACTTGTAATTTACCTCCTGCAATCCCGAACATAGTCCAACAGTAAAAGTCCCTTGTTTTCATGTCGATGCTCGACAAAAGCGGCTAGCTCGATCCCTTTGTGTTGACTGGCGCGCGCATGGCTCGCGAGCAGCACTGGCTGCACGCACTTGTCGCGTAAACTGCATGAGAGATTTCCAACGTCATAAAGAATGTGATTTCATTATCATTTCACAGGTCTTCGCCCTACATGGTCAGGGAAAGTTCCGGTTCGTAGGTGATCACTTCTATTCCAGACCAACGGGCGTTCAAGGCGAGTAGATCTACTAAATATCGCACTTGACAAAGGTGACTCTGAAATCTCGTGAGCCGTGGGCCACGCGACTTGGCATTCTTGCGTCACAAGGCACGTGATTTAACCGTGCATCTTGCAATAAAATTGAAAAACTACGCTCGGGCCTTCAGTCACTTTTGCATCAACAGTCGCACAAAAAATTATTGGTGGCGCAAGGAGAAGCTTGTCGTTTGGAGTGACAAGTGATCACCGCTGCTTTTCCTTGTCAGAGTCAACACTACACTTTGTGATGCGGCCTTGGGAGTAGTGTTGGAGTAGAAATTGCTGAGGAGACGTCGTGGAGGGGCGAGCTTTCCTGCGCAGGTATGACTTTGGCCGTATTTCAGCATGGTCGAGTGGAAAAATTCAAAAAAGTTTATTTCAAGAATACCCCAAAAGGAAGATGGGGGACATGTCCTCAGCGCTAGAAGAGGTGTTCTACTATCTGCCGGTGTATAGTTCTGGCGAATTGAGGACGTAGCTGGCTGTTTTGCCAGCGCTTGTAAATTGGCTATTTTCAAGACAATCATTTGTGGCGTCAGGGGGTGATGGACCTCGTCTTCTGGGATGCTGGCGTGGCTAAGCGGTACTGCTGCAGCAACTCTTCTAAGGTGAGGCAATGTTGGCTTGATGGAGTTTTGTTCATAGCTTGTTCGTATACGCTGGGGCGTGACTCGTTTCTAGACCCATAAATAATGTGATATTTCGGCCATTTTTGAGCGGTATGCAAGTTTCAAGGTTCCCTTCACAAACCTTTCAAGGGCTTTGCACAATCGATTCACACCCCAAAGGGAACATACCTGCAAATTTTGAGCGAAATCGGAGAGATCCACTTGCACACATACTTTGGTATTCTCAGACATGCTCTCTTAAGAGAGCATGTCTGCGAAAAGCAGAACACATGTGCAAGGAGATCTCTCAGATTTCGCTCAAATTTTGCAGGTAGGCTTGCTTTGGGATGTAGATCGACATTTCAAAGCCCGCGCAAAATCGTTTGAAGCGAACCATTGTATTGGCATGCCCCTCCATATTGGCCCACTATGGGCACGATGTAAGGGTTTACAAACTTGCCACGGCACAGCGTAGAAGAACAAGCTCCATCAAGCCAACATTACCTCACCTTAGAAGAGTTCTTGGGGCAGCACTACTTAGCCACGCTAGCATCCCAGAAGACGAGGGCAATAATCCCTTGACGCCACAAATGATCGTCTTGAAAATAGCCAAATTACAAGCGCTGATAAAACAGCGAGCTACGTCCTCAATCAGCAAACACTATACACCGAGAGATAGAAAAACACCTCTTCTAGCACTGAGGAAATGTCCCCCATCATCCTTTTGGTGTTGTGGTTTGGAGTGACAAGTGATCACCGCTACCATTTTTATCACACTTATCAATCGTCTTGGCGTCACGACATCGTGAAATATAAAAATAATTAAAATTAAAATTAAAGGTTTGTGTGGTTCTCTGTTGTTTACCTACAATCATTATTGAATATCCGTATCATGTCGCCACATTTGCCTGCTGGATGCTAGTCGGATGGGTGCCAATCTCCAGCCTTCGACCGAGTGCTGATGGATAATGCATGCATACCTGGAAATGATCCTGATAACTCAAAGCCGAAACAATCTCCATTTTGAATGGTGGGCAAAGAAGACTCGCACTTCTCACATACAGCTCTGGGCCAGTGATATTTCGTAGGAGTTGTTGATGCAAGACACATGCTCCCTAGGAAAGTGGTCCTCACATTTTCCTGAGTACAAAACTCCGATACTATACATAGGAATTTGGTAACACTAGCTGGGTCAGATAAGGGCCGAGGAAACCAGAGAGAAGTACCCCGAACACGTTCTCAATATTCATACCATCCACGTCACTAGTACCACTACTGTTATGCACATGTTTATAAAACAATCCATAACCACAGTGAACGGATATACTGATTATGCATACGAAATTTAGAGAGAAGTGCTACCAAAAAGAAACAAAGTGTGAATAAAATTCTAGCGACTTTTGAATCATAAAAATAAGCAAAAAATATACACCTGCTGCAAGTTTATAACGAACGAGCTGCAATTTGCTGCTATGCAATGGATTTACTGACAGGGATTAAATGCACAGGTGGGATATATAATGTCAATGGTAATTCTTCCGGTGATAAAGATATTGAGATTCGGTTACGAATCACCGTCAACATACATGTATAGCAAATTACTTCAAAAACCTCGCTCCGAACGGTTTAGCACTGAACTTACTTGTGAAAGTTACAAATGATATCCATACTGATGCGTGACATCAGGACACAAGAGCTGCAATGAATATTTGAGAGTATATCAGTGATAAATGCATGCGCTACTGGAGTTAGAGGCAGTGAGATATGAAGAAAAAACTCAGAAAGACTGCAACATTTCGCGTGCTTGCCATGAAAAAGTATACCATGATACAGTTTTGTGCAAAGAGAAAAAAGGCTGTATAAGTTACTAGTTATAATTAACTGTCCACCAAGGTAAGGAGTTAATAATTATAACATCAGATAGTGAGACAGCACACCACAAGACTGACAAGTATATTGAGACATTTAACGACATGACACTGATCTGACACTTCACCTGGCTTTATATTATCTCTGTACCTTTGTGGACTGTTAGTCATAGCTAGTAACTTAAAGGTCCTTTTTCTCTTTACATATTACTGTTGGCTCAACAACAGAGCTAAATGCTACTGTATCATTTGCATTTCGTTGAGGATATGTATCATTCGGTCAAAATTAAACATTCCTGAGCTGTGAAAAACATTTGGCGTTATTGGATGCTGAGATAAGTATGCTCTTCTTCTGTGGCCGGTCCCCCTTCCTCTGCACGCCCAGCTCCGCATCCGGCACGAAGAACATCATTCTCGCGCAAATTCACACAGCCATATGCATCATTCCTAGCCAGGATCCAGCTCTCGTACGCTTCATTGGTTTCCATACTAGTGCACGTGTTCTGAACCAAATCAAGTTCATCATCATGGGGAACAGATTGAGTTCTTACGTCCAGTTGGCAGGTAGTCAGCACTGAAAGACGAAAACATAATAATTATTGTCAGAACGATGGATACGTGGATGAGATACCAACTATGAACTTTGTGTCACCTTTCAGTAATGCAAATAGAGTTGCATGTTTTCACTCCCGTTGTACGGTTAACCTCAACTTTCTGAAAATCATGCACATTTCCGAATGTATAAGTGTGTGATTGAGTTCTACAAGCACACATGATGCCAAGTTGCCAGCGGTAAACAATATATCAGCACACGAAGCACAGAAGCCATATAATGTTTTCGACTAGGCCTTTCATTCCATTACTCTTCAGGTCGAATACAATGATGATTGACAAGGTACTAAGCAAGTACTTATAACCGGCACTTTTGGCGGGCAGAGCATTGACAAAAATAGCACTTGAAAAATAGCGCTAGTGGCACCCACTCTCACTTTACCATTCAAGCGAGTGCGCGCAACAAATCCCACCTTGCTGTGCTGGAGGCAATGTACATTGCCAAGCTGAAGCCTGAACTGTGCGTGCAAAAGAAGTATGTGCGAAAGTTGTCACTGTTTTGACATTGTAGTACCGTAGTCCCCACTGTTGTCTGATACTGGTAATATTCATTGACTCACTGTGTACTTGGCGCCACTAGCGCTATCTTTAAAGTGCTATTTGGTCTATGCTCTGACCGCTAAATATGCTGTTGGCGCCACTAGCGCTATTTTTAAAGTGCTATTATTGTCAATGCCTTGCTCGTCAAAAGTGTCGGTTATGAGGACTTGCTTACTACCTTGTCAATCATCATTGGATTCGACCTGAAGAGTAATGGAATGAAAGGCCTAGTCGAAATAATAATATGGCTTCTGTTCTTCGTGTGCTGATTTGCTTTCCTCCAACCAAAAATCTATTTAAGCAATATATCGCGAGACATTATTTTCATGATCGATGATGTATTATAAAGTTTATGATGGTATCTGCCCATGATGCACAATGCACTGAGGCCTGTAGGAATGCATGTATTATTGTTCCACACAGGAATTTCGAGTTAGAGAGGCCAGACTGAAGCGGTAACGTTATTATTTTTCGATTGTAAAGTATTTCTAAGAAACGTGTCCAGAACATCACTCTTGGAATTGTAAGATGAATGTTGTAGTACCATTTGGTAAAGTTTTGAAACCTCTGAATGTATCAATTTCGCTTTTTTCCAGAAAAGAAGGAAAAGGAACCCTATTACTATTCAGAAGCTCCAAATTTGGACGTTACGTACCAGGATCAGGTTTCGCGGGTGTCAACTTTAATTTCCATAGCAGGAAAACCGTCACAGCCAGCACCAGCAGTCCTGCGCCAGACCCTCCCGCAATTATCGCTGCAGATTTGGAGCCGCTTGCGCTAGCTTGGTAGCCACTGGTTGCGTCGACTTGATCAGTTGTTGGTGCTATGAAAAAAGGGAAAACATCACCAAGAACAGATTCTGGACAACATATAATCTTATAAGTATTTTTGTTGCGAGGAACCATATCGTTTTCTGGTGAAATGTAGATGTAGGTGACCAACATTTTCTTTACATACAGTGACTATTCTAGTACCTTTTTAGTAGCCAGATTCCCCTAACGGATATACCGAAAATACAGTTCCACCGAACATAACGTGTTATAGAGTAACCATAAAATCCAATCTGTTACAGGTAGAATCATAAAGAGAAGTTAACTCAATTGATATATGAGAACAGCAAGACGTATGAAGGAGGAGAATCGGTAACGTTCTTGGGTTTTGAACGATTCGAACGAAACGTTCCACCATCTATTGAGGGGTGAAATTCATGCCAACTCGAGGCTACACATGTGCAACAAATGTGCCAACCTTGATGCAACGTGGTGATGCGAGTGGAGGTCGATTGAGCACTGTCTCCATAGGCATTGCTTACATAGGTGGTGACATTATAGGTCATGCCTGGAGCCAGGCCAATCAAGGTAACATTTTCAGACGCGTTGCACACTGGTATCGTTGTCATATTCCCTGACATATCATTTGCAGGCCTTCCGTACACACAATACTGGAGTATGGGAAGGTTGTTGCCTTCTGTTCGGCCTATAAAAACAGTGATGGTAGTACTTGAGAGGACGTAATTGTCAGGCGATGTTGGCGCTAATAAAAACATATTCAGATCACGTATGTATCCGTAAATTGTTCATACGTTACATAGTATTTGCGGTCTGCATTAAAAAGGCCTGTTAATATTCCAATGCATTTTTGTGGAGAAGGAAATCTCCCATGGGATAATTGAGAAGAAATGTTTTTTTCTCTTCTTAACTTCTTCCCTTTGATCACTGCACCATCAACCAAATGAATTGGGCACACGGGTAACTAATCCCTTACCTGATTCAGCAATGCTTGACCTGAGAATCATGCAATTGACATAGGAACGTCATTTGGGGAAAGAGACCCTGCAAAAAGGAATGTGCGAGGTACAATACGAATCTCAAAAAATTCTTCACCCCTGTTCGTGGTCGGTGTTTGATGTAATGATATCCCCTACCTTTAGGCACTGTTCCAATGCTGACTACAGGGGACATGCTACTATTGTGTCCGATCGTAGTTTTGAAGAATGCTCTGACCCTGTACATAGTATTGGTTTCCAGGCCGGACAACACGATTGACTCGTTATTGTTACAAACTACAGTTGGTTTAGCCACAGTGTCATTTTTGTCGTACACAAAGCAGAATTCTGGTACCCAATCTCGTAGTATCTGTGGCTGCAATATGCGTGCATATATTCCAGTGTCCGTTGAGTTGACAGCTACGCCTGAGGGCGCTATAAAGCAGAGAACACAGTGAAGCACGCACAGAATACAGTGAAGCACGCACAGAATGCCACTGAACAATACATCTACATGTACATACATGGTTTTTCCCTTTGCGAATGATACCTTTATAACAGCGTGTTTCTGGCCGTGCTGCGGAGACCTCAGGCGGCAGATCCATCAACGCCCCATCATTGATTTCTTGATTTTAATTTCACGGATCCTCCAGAGGCAGACAGATGCCTATCGAAGGGAGTCTCCTAACTAAATATGGAAAATGAGACAGAATGTTCATAGGGGAGAAGAGGTAGAAGACTAGAATATAGAGTACAAAAGAGCACACCACCGGGAATCGAACCAGGGGCCTTGCTATTCGCGAGCAATGCTCTAACCAACTGAGCTACAGTATGACTCTTATCCACGGTGATGGTAAATCTATCCGTCTTCGATCAATTCGTATCTGGCTTGCATCATGCTGGCAACTCGGACCAATCAAGAGGGCCCTGGGCCATTCGCTTGATATCATGGGGAGCGCATCAAACTATGTCCACTGCGAGCAAATACAAATTGCAATTTCAAATTTGGACTTCACGGAGAATTTCAAAGTTGTTAGGAAATTAGAGGCTACATGCCACGTACTGCTCTTTTCTCTACGAAACTCAACACTTGCAAGTCAGATATGAAAGAAAGAAAAAATCATCAGTGAAAAATTCTCCGTGAAGTCCACATTTGAAATTGCAATTTGTATTTGCTCGCTTTGGACATAGTTTGATGCGCTCCCCATGATATCAAGCGAATGGCGGAGGGCCCTCTTGATTGATGTCAGTTTCCAGCATAATGCAAGCCAGATATGAATTGATCGAAGAAGGTTAGATTTACCATCACTGTGGATAAGAGTCATTCTGTAGCTCAGTTGGTTAGGTCATTGGTAGCGAATAGCAAGGCCCCTGCTTGGAGTCCCGGTGGTGTGACTGATGATTTTTTCTTTCTTTCATATCTGGCTTGCAAGTGTTGAGCTTCGGAGAGAAAAAGCAGTACGTGGCACGTGGTCTCTAATTTCCTAAAAACTTTGAAATTCTCCGTGAAGTCCAAATTTGAAATTGCAATTTGTATTATCCCGCAGTGGACATAGTTTGATGCGCTCCCCAGGATATCAAGCGAATGTCCCAGGGCCCTCTTGATTGGTGGGAGTTGCCAGCATGATGCAAGCCAGAAATGAATTGATCGCAGAAGGATAGATTTACCATCACTGTGGATAAGAGTCATACTGGAGCTGGGTTGGCTAGAGCATTGCTTGCGAATAGCAAGGCCCCTGGTTCAAGTCCCGGTGGTGTGACTGATGATTTTTTCTTTCTTTCATACCTGGCTTGCAAGTGTTGAGTTTCGGCGAGAAAAGAGCAGTACGTGGCATGTGGCCTCTATTTTCCTAACAACTTTGAAATTCTCCGGTAAGTACAAATTTTATATAAGCTATAAAGAGAACAAATTCTGCTGTCATCGCCACACTACAACAAAGTCATGAAGGTTTACCAAAATCGATTTTCTTGTCACAATCATCAGTGGAAAGCCGTGACTGAAGAATAACCATGTCAAATCAATAATTTATATACATTCAATAATGTGTTACAAGAAAAAAACAAAGTGCTAAAAATAGAATGATGGAAGGTGAGACAATAGAAGTAAAGTGAGAGCTAAGTGCAACAGGGGTGAGGAACTAATTGCAACGCCAGAACTGTGTAGTGAGACAAACAATCATTCTGTGCACCTACGAAAACAATCTTAACGCAACTACATGTTTCTTCTGATTTTTATTTCCATTGCTATCAGGTTCGGCCTCATTTCCTCTGTGCTGCGCTGACGAATCCACAAAGGACGAAACAGTTCTGTCGGCAGATTGAGTATTCCGCTCCTGCTCTTGTAGTAGTTGAGCACTCTTGCGTGGGGTAGTGCCTTTGCTGTTAGCGTTATGCAGAGCTCACTGACTTGTCAGTTTGAGCACTCTGGCAAGGTACGTTCGGACCTGATTGGAAATTTTTATTTCCATTGCTATCAGGTTTGGCCTCATTTCCTCTGTGCTGCGCTGACGAGTCCACAAAGGACGAAACAGTTCTGTCCGCAGATTTAGCATTTCGCTCCTGCTCTTGTAGCAGTTGAGCACTCTTGCGTGGGGTAGTGCCTTTGCTGTTTGCGTTATGCAGAGCTCACTGACCCCCCCCCCCATTTTTTGGAGCTTTTGAAGTCGGTTTGGAATTTTGGTGCTCTGATCCATCCTTGGTCAGATCGAGCAGTGCTGCTGACATGTACCATTACTGTTCCTTTCCGGTAGATGGCTACGGCCGAGAGTCTTTCCGGCCCTACCTTGATGCTTTGGCAGCCCAAATAAGGAGCCCTGACTGCATCAAGCAGGTTAATTTTGATCGTATCCGGGGACATTGCGTAGTAACTCTGGATAAGGAAGAGTGTCTCCAAAGGCTGCTGTCGGAGGGCTTGACCGTCAGAAACATTGCTGTGCAGGTACGTCCCTTTTATGGTGATGATGTTGTCCGGCTACATGTAATTGGGTGCCCCTTTGTCCTCGAGGATGCCACTTTGGTCACCATGCTAGAACCATTTATGAAAATTGTCCATGGACCATCACGGCAGAAAGTCCGCCTTGCAGAGGGGGTGGATGTGATGGTTGAGAGCGGGAGACGGTTCATACTCGGTACGCCCCTGAGGTCAATCCCCAGCACGCTAGTTGTACCAGAAATGAAAACAAGATTGCGCCTTTGGCACGAGGGACAAGAATCGACATGCTGGGAGTGTCACCAGCCGGGTCACAAATCCCGTAGCTGCCCACGCCGCCAGACATCCCGTGAGACCACTGTGATACAAAAAGAACTGACCAAAACATCAACAGCACCTGTTGAGGATAGCAATGGTACGTCAACAGTTGAACCTATTGAGCATAACAACGCTACGGTAGACTTGAACTCCAGTGAGCTCAAGCCCAGGGCAGGTCAGACAACCCCCGCCGTGCGTGGCAAGTCCAGGGCTGAGCACACTCCTACAGATGATACGGCACAAGAAGATGACGACAGTGATGGCTTCACACCAGCCCGTAGGCCGAAAAAGAAGAGTCAACAAACGGCCGACCAGAGACCAGGTAACCAAGCTGCAAATTGTGAGCTCCTGGATGATACCTTGAGTAGTGTTCTGCACCGGACAGGATCACATTACGAGGTTCTAGCCGACAACATTATTCAGGGAGCCAGGCAGGGAGCCGCTAACGCCCGCAGGCACAGCCAGGCGGCTAACGACACCTGCAGTCGCTAACAAGCCCCAACCTCGAACGTACGTACACCATTGCTACATAATGTATCCTCATTCAACAAAAATAATAGTCATGTATATTACATTGAAAATGATAGGAAATTTCACACACATTAGTTCTTCCTTTTCTCTACATCACTAAATCCCCTAGCATCATCTTTCATACCAATGAGCAACCGAAATCTGCGATCATGTACCAACCACGACACATCCCACTTGTCCTTAGGGTTCATGAACGTATGCAGTCTCCGCTTCAAGGTCCATGCTCTAACCGCACTGATCCCCAAGTACGACATCCTGTGTATAGCCGAAACATGGCTAAACAGCGCGATCTCTGACGGAGAAGTACAAATCCCAGGTTATAACCTTACCAGATGAGACCGCGAAAACAGGACTGGAGGTGGTGTATGTATCTACTACAAATCATCACTTCCCATCACGCCACAGCCAAATCTCCGCCTAGACGGCGTGGAAGCCGTCTGGATACTGCTGCGATCGAAGTCCCAGAAGCACCTGTTCGGATGTGTATATCGTCCCCCGCAGGAGCCTGTCGCGTACTGGACTCTCCTGGACTCTGCCTTCCATAGAGCGTCTCTGGTGACAACATCAATGACCGTTGTAGGAGACTTCAATGTGGACATGTTCCGAGGCCAGAGAATGGCGCAACGTCATCACCTTGAAGATGTCGCATCTGCTTACAGCCTCACAAACCACGTGCTGTCCCCGACAAGGATTACACCTCTCTGTCCCCAAGGTAGCACCATAGATTTAGTCCTTTCTACAGAGAACTCAGTGTCAACGTGCACGGTTGTTCCGTCCACCATAAGTGACCACTTTACCGTCCGTGCTACTATGACCTTTACTGTACAGACGAAGAAGTGCGTGCGTGCTCCACCAACACGTAAGCTGCACAAAATCGATATTCCGCTATTTCGCGAGGACCTTAAATATTGCTTTGCGCAAGACTTCCCCTCTGATGCCGATGTCGACACTTACTGGGAGCTCTGGCACGATCGGTTTATGACTGTGTTGGACACACATGCCCCGCTTGTACAAGGGGCAATGAAATCTGCAGAACCTGTGCCCTGGTCAAACCGCGACATTTATCAGCTGGACAAGAAGAAGAAAAGGTATCATCGCCTTTGGCTGGCCGACAAAGGAAATGTTCAACTCCACCAGCAGTACCGGAAGGTTCGAACTCAGGCAACGAACATGTATCGCCGTTGTAGGAATGAGTACTTCGCACGTCAATGCCAAGAACATTCCAGAAACCCCCGCCAGATTTGGAAAGTCATCAATACCGTCACCGGACGCGGGAAGCAGAAAACCGAACCAACCTGCAACATCGAAGAGGTAGCCAACGTGTTTCATGACATTGTGACGGATCCAAAGCGCCCATCATGCCTAGCCTCTCCCGTCGGCCCACTTCCATCGGATAGCCTGCACACGTTCCAGCCAGCCTCTTGTTCCGTAATCTACCGTCTACTAAGTCAAGTCAACCCTGCGAAAGCAACGGGCAGCGACGGTGTCCCAGGATTCCTCCTGAAGTCCGGTGCCGAGGTCCTCACACCATCTGTCACCACACTCTTCAACCTGTCACTGAAATCTGGTGCAGTGCCTGCTGGTTTCAAGTTGGCGGCTGTAAGCCCGCTGTTCAAGTCTGGGGATCCGTCTCAGCCGACAAACTATAGGCCAGTGT